ACTCTCGCACGCGTCCCACGCGTATGCGCGCCGCCCGTCCGTGTTCCCTAGTCCTCGGCGCTTTAGGATTTGCGCGTCTCGACCGTACGCGCGCGCCTGCGCGCGCGCCCCACCAGCGCTGCCCCTTTCCCTGTGCGTGCGCCCGTTTCTCGTCGCCTATGCCTACCGCGCATAGGCATGCACTTGCGTCCTCGCACTCGCGCATAATCGCGCGCTCCTCGCTATCGCCGATCTTCTCGCGCGCGTTGCGTCGCGCGCCCGCGTGCTGTTTACTTGCGCCCTTCGCGCGCCATCCGTTCCGCACCGCCCACCCCCCGTACGCCCGTGCACCCATCTGCCGCATATCCGCGTGACCCTTGCCGATCCCGCGTGGTTCGCTCGTTCGCCCCCTTGTGTGCATCAAGTACCGATGCACACCTTTTGCCCTTCAGCCCTTGACTAGACTCGCCGGTCTCAATCCCTACTTCCGTATCATTCCCCTCCTCTTCAAGACCTTCCTTGTCCCCAAGGATTAGAAAGTTCAGCTTCCCAACTCGACCATCCTCGTTATCCTCATCCGATGACTCGCCTGGGTCCTCAGTCCTCAACTTAACCCTCTTGCTTGACCTCCCGAACTCCATAGTTCCCTTCCAATAATCAGTTGTGATTTGACCAAGGGTCTCCAACCACTGGCATCCTAGCACTATATCAGTTGCTTTCAATGGCAATGCATAGAGATCCACTCTCATCCTTTGGCCTTGAGCCTTCAACTTTACACCTTTGAATAGAATATCCCCTCGTAGTGTTTCCCCGTTTGCAACCTTAACTCCAAAAGGTTTTACTTTGGTGAATGGGATCTCGATTTCCTTGGACAACTCCTCATCAATGAAATTTAGCGTAGAACCGCTATCGACCAATGCCTCCACCAATCTTCCCCCTACTTCAGCCGTGAATGTGATCATCTTTGGACCACGTTTCTTGCTTTTAACCATATGTAATAGGGACTCCTCTTTTGGTTCTTCTTCTTCCTCAAATTCCAACAAAAGACCTCCTTACCCTTGCACCTGTGGCCTGGCGTAAATTTTTCGTTGCACGAATAGCAAAGGCCTTTTTCTCGCCGTCGTTGCATCTCCTCGTCTGTAAGCCGTCGTATGTTGCTCGTTGTTCGAAAAGCTTCCCCTAACGGCTTGCTTTCGGTTCGCGTTGGCTGTTCCTCGGTCGCGACGTGTGCGCGCTTGGTCTCCGTGCATACGTCGCTTGGTTTTGTCTTGCGTACCGCCACAAGGTGGTCTTCGTGCAGCCTGGCCGATTCTATGGCCGCACGCATTGATCCTGGTCTGTCCAATCTTACCTCGGCTGCCAGCTCAGCTTTAAGTCCTCCAACAAACGTTCCCACTAGCGCAGCCTCGGGCCAGTCCCGTACTCTACTAGCGATTCGCTCGAACTCTTTTTGATATTCCCTCAGACTACCCACTTGTTTGATCCTTGACAAAGCCTCGTTGTAATCGTGGTAGTCACTCGAGCCAAACCTCGTGATAAGCTCCTTTTTAAATTATCTCCATCGCATGTACTCGCCATGGTTCTTGTGCATCACCCATTGCCACCAAACGTTTGCTTCCCCATCAAGGTGGTAGGCAGCAATTTGAACTCGTTCGTATCTTGGCACATCATTGATCTCAAAAAATTGCACAGCCCGACTCAACCATGCGTCCGGATCTGTTCCCGTGAACGTGGGCATAGTAATTTTTGGCCGTGTGCCCGCCCCATCGTCCCGTGGATCGTCGCGATCATGGTATCGGGCACGTCCCTCGTCCCGTCGTTCATGGCATCGTCGGTCCTCGTTGTGGCGCTCTCGGTCATCGCGTCGTGCCCGGCGCTCATCGTGTGAGGCCCGCGATGCGTACGATGCATACGACTGCCGGTCGTCCTCTTCTTCGCGCCTACGGTCGTGATGTGCGCGTTCACCATGCCGTCGCCGGTCGTCGCGTTGGTGACCCGCGTGTGATGCGTGCGAGCCCCGCGATCGGCGATCATACTCGCGCTCGGTCCCGGTGCTGACTGCAGTGGACCGCGACCCGTGTCTTCTCCTTGGCCGCGTGTTCATGCGCGTTAGTTGCCCGGCCAAGTCCTGGACCATTAATTCGATCCTTCCCAAGTTCTCGTTGGTAGCATGTTGACCATCGCCGATGATCTTCATGTTATCCTCCAAGGCTTGAATTCTTTCGCGGTTCGACATCATAAACCCTTTTTTTTTTTTACTCTAAAAATCAAAAAATAAACGGGAAAAATTCAAAAAATTCGAACCCC